TCAGTGGCGTCAGGGAACTGAGTACGCCAAGCGTCGTCAAGGCGTGAGAAGCAGCGCTGCGTGGGGTGCACCCTCCCACACGTCTGACTAGTGCGGTCACTAGTGCGGATGACGTGCATGCAGCTAAGGCCACCACCCCCCCCCCCCCCCCTGCCCAGTGTACCACTAACGGAGCTCCTGGGGCGACGGAGAGTGCTGTAGGCTCTGGCCACCTCCAGTGCCTCCACGACCACCACTGCTGCCACCACCTCCTCGACCACCTCCTCCCCTGCCGCCGCCGCGTCCACCGCCGCCCCCACCACTGCTCCCGCCCCTGCCACCGCCCCTGCCGTTGCCGCCACCACCCCTACCGCTGCCACTAGTCCCACCAGTCCCACCACCACTCCCACCGCCGCCACCACCCCCACCACCGCCTCCCCCGCCGTCACCTCCGCCTCCCTTGCCCCCTTTGTCCTTGCCGCTGTGACGCCCGCCCGAGGCAAACGCGGCCCCGACCTTCTCAAAACCAAGGAGGTCGACAGCAAAAGCAAAGGCGACAGAGGGAAGAAGGGGGGAAGGGGAACACCCCTCAAAGAAAGGGGTGCGGGGGTCGCCACGAGAGGCGCCTACAGCGACTATGCTAGCCTCAGCTGCAAGCAGTTCCTTCTTGAGGAGGGCAATGGTGAGCTCAGTGGGGCAGCGAGCTAGGAAGTGGTCCGTGACAGCACGCAGAGTGTCAGGGAGGCGGGTGACTAGGTGGTAGAGAGTGAGCCAGAGCGGGGGGGGGTTCTTGGCAAGCAACTCATTGGGCATGGCGGCACGGAAGCGGGCCTCACTAGTACAGAGGTGCGTGATGAGGTCAGCTACTGTGTGGAACGAGGCCAGGTCGGGAAACAGGTAAGGGAGGGAGAGACGGCCTAGCGCGGCAGAGGCAGATGAGGAGTAGCGGGCAACGACAGCGGAGTACAGTGCCTGTGCAGTCTTGTGCTGGCCAAAGTACTCGCGCTTGTCTATCGGCAGGGAGTTGCGAATAGCGAAGCGAGCGTGGGCGTCACGAGTCTGCCACCGTGAGCGGGCACTGCTGTCAGCACTAGCAGCAGGAGCAGTAGCATGGCTAAGGGCGTGATCGTGCAGTGAGATGTCCTCCTTGGCAGTGAGCTGTAGGAAGAGGTGTAGGTCATCTAGCCAGGATTCGAACTTCACTGGGCGGCCCTCAGCATCGAAAGCTAGCACAGGAGGGCTAGCCATAGCAGTAGTAGGAGCAGCAATAGAGTAGCAGCAGTAGTAGTAGGTGCACCCTCAAGACAGTAGGCAGTACGACTCAGGTAGGGCGGCTCGGTCCAGTACAGGAGGTGCGGCTCGATTCAGGTAGGGCGGCTCGGCTCGGGTAGGGCGGCTCGGCCGAGTTCGGGTGGCGCGGCTAGGTTCGGGCTGGGCGGCTCGGGTCGGGCGGCTCGGTTCGGGCTAGGCGGCTCGGTTCGGGCTGCTCGGGTCGGGCGGCTCGTTCTGGCGGGGCCGTGGGTGTCGCGGTGGGGTGCTAAGGGGCGGGGTCGACGGGGCCAGCGGGGCCGCTAAGGGGCGGCGTGTGGGTCGACGGGGCTAGCGGGGCTGCTAAGGGGCGGCGTGTGGGTCAACGGGGCCAGCGAGTCGTTAAGGAGGGCGCGTGGGTGGAGAGGGGCCAACGGGGCCGCTAAGGGGTGGGTGTGCGCGGGGTATACGGGGTTGACGGGGCCTCTAACGGGGTCGCGCACGGGGTCGACGGGGCCAGCGGGGCCGCTAAGGGGCGGCGCGTGGGGTCGACGGGGCCGACGGGGCCGCTATGGGGTGAGCGCGCGGGGTCGACGGGGCCAGCGAGGCCGCTAAGGGGCGGCGCGTGGGGTCGACGGGGCCGACGGGGCCGCTAAGGAGTGAGCGCGCGAGGTCGACGGGGCCAGCGGGGCCGCTAAGGGGCGGCGCTTGGGGTCGACGGGGCCGACGGGGCCGCTAAGAGGTGGGCGCGCGGGGTCGACGGGGCCGACGGGGCCGCTAGGGGGGCGGTACGTGGGGTCGACGGGGCCGACGGGGCCACTAGAGAGTGGGCGCGCGGGACAACCGGGGCCAACGGGGCCTCTAAGGGGCGGCTCGTGGGGTCGACGGGGCCTCTAAGGGGCAGCGCGCGGGTCACTAAGGGCCTTAGGGGGCCGTAAAAACGAGGCGCACGAGGGCGTTAGGGGGGAGGCGCTCGAGGGCGCTCCGACAGTAGAGCGCACGAGGGCGCTAGTAAGTAGCAGTAGTGGTGGGCCCTAGGAATCGGTCCTAGCGGAGGACCTGCTCTGATTCCATGTTACAAACAAGAAGTGATTGCACTATGAAAGTTGGAGTACAAGTAGGAAACCCTAACTTTGTGTACCCCCTAAAGGCTAACCCACTATAGCCTACACAATAATAACACATATAGTGTTTGACAGTCTCCTGCCTCGGCTTCCCGAATGTCGACCGCGTACATGTTAGCTCCTGCTGCTACGGCGCGTTTCATCGTGATCGCGTTGACACGCACCGACGAAGACTCAGGTGAGCCCCAGCGAGGTAGGGCCATGTTGTTACCGTTCACTCGCACGGTGCACTCACTCGTCATCCAGTCGATTCGCGGATTGTGTCGTCGCAGCTAATCACGCCCGAGTAAAATGTCGGTTCCGTCGAGGGTCGTTGCAAGCATTCCCTGGCTAAACGTGAAGTTACCCCCACATCAAATCCGAACCCGGTCTACGCGTTCTCGTATTGCCAGCGGCGTGCCGTCTACCAGTCGTGCGTCGATCTCAGGTAAACATCTGTCCAGTGGCAGTCGCAGTTTTCGTGCTATAGCAGTGTTGATGAGGCTGTAACTAGCTCCCCTGTCTACGAATATTTTTAACTAAGTATGTCCCGATTTTTCCACTAAGCAGTATGGGGCTGTCTACCGTAGTCCCCTCCTTATTCGGCCGAGTGTGGTCGATTGCGTGAACAGGCACAATCACTCGGTGAGGGTCGGTTGGGTCGGGCGAGCGGCGTGACCTGTCAGTAGAGGGCCCGTCTGCTACTGACTCCTAGCGTTTCCCTGCTGCTTGGTCTGTTTCTGCTGCTCGGCTTCCCCCTTTCTCTTAGCGTTTTCCGGGCATTCACTCTTGACCTTGCTTGTACTGTCACATATATATACCTGCTCTTGCTTGTCTAGCTCTATATATATATATATATGTGTACCCTTGCATGTGAACTGGCCTTGTGGCCTTGTTGTTGTGCTCGGACTGTGTGGTGACTTTGTGATCCACCCTGAGCTTGCCTTGCTTTGCTTTGCTTGACTGGTCTTCTGACCCCTTGTTCTCCCCCACTTTGCCTATGGGGGTGTGTCAGACATATATGGCATAGCTGTTGTAGGCTATAGTGGGGTAGCACATATGGGGTACAGCTTTCTAGGGTTTGTATTTGTACCCAACTTTCACTTAGTCATTTCATTCTCGTTCAGTTCTTCTCAGCAGCGGCATTTGCGGCGACGGCACGTATCGTGGCGCCCTCGTTCGTCCCACGAGGCCGATGTCGCCAATGGCTGCTTCCGTAGGAACCCGGTCTCGGTCGGCGAAAGAAGTCAAGTTTCTCCGCCATAGCGAGAATTTCTTGAAATTCGGTGACGCCGCGAAGCTGGATTTCCTGAGCGATGTCCTGCTTCAGGCCGCCGATGTAGCAGTCGATGCGCTCGCTCTCATGCATATATCCCACCTGCTCGCATAGCGCCAGAAATCCGCTCGTGTAATCTTGGACGGAACCGAGTTGGCGCCAAGTGCGGAGCTTCTGTCGCGCCGCGATCGAAGCCGCGATTGGCTCGAAACGAGCGCGCAGACCTGCGCACCACGCGTCCCACGTGCGATACTGGGGCACCTCCACGAAATACGACGGCGCCCAGGGTACGGTTTGTCCTTCCCGTGTCGGTAGAGTCGCGTAGTCCACCGGCTTCGTGACGATGACGCGCCACGAGTCCATGGCGGGTCCTCGCAGCAACGACACGGCGTAGCGAATCTTCGCCGTATCCCCCGAGACGTAGTTCGCGTCAAAGAAGACGTTCAACGTGAAGAGCCACGCCTGAACGGTAGGACCACCCCGCTGACTTGGGTCAAAGTATGGTGGACGCTGCGGCTTTAGCGGCATCGGCGACGGAAGAGTTGATTCGCTGGCCGGCACCGAAATCGTTGTCAAAATAGTAGGTAGAGTAAGGAGCCATAGCTAGGGTTTACCTAGCTAGGCAAGAGAGAGTTAGGCAAAAGAGAGGGTTTCAATAGCAGCAGTTGGGATACATATAGCAAACCCTAATTGGGTTGTGCTCGCTATAGAGCACCCCACTGCAGGCTAGATAATATAACATTCTGACACACCCCCATAGCCAAAGTGGGGTGTAATTAGCAGAGCAAGCAAAGCAGAACAAGCTCAGGGTGGATCACAATGTCACCACACATTCTGAGCACAAGTACAAGAAGCAATATTTTAAAGTTCACAATTATGAGCAAAGCTAGAGGCTATCGCATAGGGCAAGTGAGGAGGAGGAGGCGAGACTGTAAGAGGAGAGGAGATAGGAGGCGACGACTGAAGCTGCAGACACACGGGCAACAGGAGCGCGCACACAGTGGCTACCGGGACAGCGCCCCGGACTACAGGAGTAACTGGCTCACGGGCTACAAGGAGCTACAGGAGCAACGAGCCCACGGGCGATAGGCGCAGCAGGCTCTCTGGGCTACCAGGACAGCGCCCCGGACTACAAGTGCTGCGGACGACAAGACGGCAGCCTCCTCTCAGTCTCCCCAAACAGTCCCACCCCCCTTGACACACACCCCCTGCTTCACCCCTAGCTCCACTCCCACATCACCCCCCTAGCACCACTCCTTCGTCTCCCACACACCCACCCCCCTCAGCGGCAGCTGCAGCAGCGGGAGACGGAGGAGGAGCAGGAGCAGGGGACTGCGCACACCCACCACTCCCATACCCGTCACCCCCATACCCTGAGTGTGCGGTAAGAGAGCTCAGGTGTGCGTGAAGCATGCACAAGCGTGCGGGAAGCGAACTCGGGTGTGCGGTAAGCAAACGCAGGTGTGCGGGGAAGGGGGGGCCGCAGGTAGGCGATGGGGCCGTAGGGCCGCAGGTAGGCGACGGCGCCGTAGGTAGGCAGGTAGGCGACGGGGCCGTAGAGCCGTATGTAGGCGACGGGGCCGGGGCCGCAGGTAGGCGACGGGGCCGTAGGGCCGCAGGTAGGCGACGGGGCCGTAGGTAGGCAGGTAGGCGACGGGGCCGGGGCCGCAGGAAGGCGACGGGGCCGTAGGGCCGCAGGTAGGCAGGTAGGCGACGGGGCCGTAGGGCCGCAGGTAGGCAACGGCGCCGTAGGTAGGCAGGTAGGCGACGGGGCCGTAGAGCCGCAGGTGGGCGACGGGGCCGTAGGTAGGCAGGTAGGCGACGGGGCCGGGGCCGCAGGAAGGCGACGGGGCCGTAGGGCCGCAGGTAGGCAGGTAGGCGACGGGGGCGGGGCCGCAGGAAGGCGACGGGGCCGTAGGGCCGCAGGTAGGCAGGTAGGCGACGGGGTCGTAGGGCCGCAGGTAGGCGACGGCGCCGTAGGTAGGCAGGTAGGCGATGGGGCCGAAGAGCCGCAGGTAGGCGACGGGGCCGTAGGTAGGCAGGTAGGCGACGGGGCCGTAGGGCCGCAGGTAGGCGACGGCGCCGTAGGTAGGCAGGTAGGCGACGGGGCCGCGAAACCGCCGCGTGCGCCTAGGGTGCGCGGTGGGCAGAAAACCGCCACGCATCCCGAGCGCATGGCGTGCAGAATACCGCCGCGCGAAGCAGGAAACCCCCGCGCGCCTCGGGGCGCACGGCGGGCAGAAAACCGCCGCACACCCCGAGCGCACGGCGAGATGAAAAAAAAACGCCGCGCTCCGAGTGCGCGGCATGATGAAAGGGTCGCGCGTCCGGGGCGCGCGACAGCAGTAGAGTAGCGGAAGCTTTAGGTGGTGGGCCCACCCACAGGATCGACCCAAGGGGATCGACCTGCTCTGATAGCATGTCAAAATAGTAGGTAGAGTAAGGAGCCATAGCTAGGGTTTACCTAGCTAGGCAAGAGAGAGTTAGGCAAAAGAGAGGGTTTCACTAGCAGCAGTTGGGATACATATAGCAAACCCTAACTGGGTTGTGCTCGCTATAGAGCACCCCACTGCAGGCTAGATAATATAACATTCTGACAATTGTGACTCGAGGCTGAGTCCTGGCCGCATTCATCGCGTCGGGGTGTGTCGTGCCGTGGTCGTCGTCTCCGTCATGGCGGATGACGCCATCACTTGCGGCGCTCGCGGGCTGCCCCACACTTCCGTGCTGTGATGTCTGTGGTGCGGGCTGAATCGGAGTGCCAGGTGCTTGGGATTGTGCCCGTGTGAGGTCGTTTTGGAGGGACGAGCGTTCTGCCGTCAGCGTCGCAATTTCCTCGGCGCTCTCGCGGATTTGTTGCAGCAGATCGTTCAAGTGCTCCTACGTGAGAGTCGTGACGTCGATATGTTCAGCCATTTCGAAGGGCGTCGACTCGTCTTAGTCTAGGCGCAGTCGTGGCTGCACGCGTTTACGAGAGAACGCGAGGACAGCGGCTCCTAGGTGCTAAGGTACGTGAGTCCATTCGAGTGAAAAATCAAAAGTTGATTTCCTAGGGTGCGGAGATGCGCGGTCCGAAAGAAAGGGGCTCTGAATACCAAGTGTTACGGGTGCAATGAATCGAAGTAGCGAGAATTGCACTAAGGTGCCAAACGAGTACAAAATGTGAGCGAAGGCATGAGCGAACATTTATACGCGAAACATGTAAACGGTAACGTGGTGCGTGCGAGCTAGCTAGTGCTACGCTGGAAGCAAGGCTCGGGCTAGTCCCGAAGCGTAGGCCGACACGGCCAGGCCAGCAGTGTGAGGTTTGGTGAAACTGTGCGCGCGAAGTCGGCGAAGCCCCGTTAGCAGTAACGGGCGAACAACGGCTGTTGCTGTACGCGATGTAGGCGGGCTCCGTAAGGAATGCCGAGAAAATTCCTTACACTGATCAGCCAAATTGCAGCAACACTTCCCTCGAGCTCTGCGTCCCCGAATTCTCCGCGGTTGACTCCCCCCTAGATTTTGCCGGGCCAATTCCCCCCACCTTTCCGCAACCCCCGCGCGCCTGCCAGCAAACCCAGCCAGTCAAACGAGCGCGCAGAAGGAAGCCCAGCGCGTCAGGTGAGCTGGTGTCAGCGCGTGGACTCAATTTTCACCCATAAATGCCTTTCACCTGTCGAATCCAGTGGCCAGTCCCATTCCACGCCTTGTCATTCACATCAGTCTTGCTAGTGATATGGTGGCTCGCAGTGCTCTATCCGTCGCTTACGGGTGTGATTCAGATCATACGTATCAATCTTATCGATTGCCGATATTTGCCTGTTACTCGTGGCATATATATCGCTAGGCATGCGATGGTTCACCAGTCACGCGATGGGAATTGCGAGCCAGCGTTTTTTATGGTCTCGCGATACTGAGTCGATTCATCACCTGATCCAACCCGCCATATTGTTTTGTACCGCACGAATCCAGCCTTAAATGCTGTTATATGCGACGACACCACCGTGTGTCATCCTGATGATACCAACCTAGACATCACCATACGTCACTTACCCTTGGCTTTCAGACACGACGCTTTTCCACCAGCCTGTTCAGAATAGGGTAAACTCCTTGTATTTGTTATTCCGTATTGATCAGCCAAACAAGTCATAACAGATATTTCCACACTTTCTCCCAAGAGCTTTAATCAGCTTAGACTGTTCACCCCTCGCTATACAAGGATCGTTCATCTTTTCCGCCATACAAATTGGGGACCCCGCAATGGCGGCAGCGACGGCGGGTTGCGCGTGCGTGTGCCACGGGGAGTGGTCGGCGGCGGTGGTGGCGCTGCGGCAGCTGGAGGAGTGGCAGAGTCGCGCCGCGCAGTACATAACCCTGCTGGAGAACGAAAAGGCGGCGGCCGACGCGCAGTTGGTGCAGCTTCAGGAGACGCGCGCCACGGAGGTGCGGGAGGGGATGAGAGGAAGGGGGAAGGGAAGTTGGGGGGGGGTAAAGGGGGCGGTGAGGGAGGAGGGGAAGGAGGAGAGGGGGTGAGTGGGTGGTAATTCTGGTAAAAAAAAAGGTTGAGAAGTGAGTCTCCATTTAGCGTTTCAATTTCAGCCTTTCCCCTCGTCCCCTCTCCCCGTTCCCCCTTCCCTTTTTCCCTCTTCCCCCTCTCCCCCGCTCAGGCCCAGGCGTGGGAGGAGCGAGTGAGGACGGCGGAGGGCGCAGTCCAGCGCGCGGAGGAGGAGAGGCGGAGGGAGGGGGAGAGAATGGAGGAGGAGAGAAGAAAGGTGGCGGAGAGAGTGGAGGAGGAGAAGAAGCGGGAGGGGGAGAGAGTGAGGGAGCAGGCGGAGAGGCAGGGGCGACTGAGGGAGGTGCATCTGCAGACGCGGCTCAGTCAGCAGCAGCAGGAGATAATTCGCCGGGATAGAGCAGCCATGTACGGAACGAACCGCACTGACATCACCCTCCTTTGAGGCTCTTTTTTTCATGTATATATTTTCTTTGTGGCTCACTTCAAGCCTTTCTCGTGCTATGAGCCCCTGCTTGTTCTTCTCCCATGCTTCAAACCCCCACCCCTTCCCCCACCGGATCTTCACCCGTTGTGTGGTCCTGTTTCTCATCCCTATCCCCGTCACGTGCCACCACCATCACGCTCCCCATGGCAGGGAGATCCACGCGTTCTGGCAGGAGGCGGTGAGGAAGCGCAATGAGGCGCTCATGGGGACGAAGCAGGCGCAGAGGGAGCTGCGGAGCAGAGACCAGGCGGACAAGGAGAAGGTAGGTCAAAGTCAAGAAACATGAGTTTCAGTATCCTTTCTTTTTGTTGCTACCATCCCAAAATCCTTGTTGGGCTGCATTGCACCTTCTCTTCAGTTATAACTGCCTTTTCCCCTCGTCTTTTCCAATCGCAAAAGATTTGCACAAATTTGTTTGTTTTTTGGATGGCGTGATCACCCATCCTCGCCACCAAGGTGCAAAAAAACGACGTTTTTTTCAAAATTTGATCGTAAAATACCGTATCGTAAGAAACGATCGTAAAATACGATAAAAAACGGTTTTTGAAAATAAATACTTTTGGTGCAAAAAAACCTTCGTTTTTTTCAGTAAAAAGACCAAAACTGCTGCTGAAACAAGGGGATTGACTGGTGAGAAGAACAAGGGGGCCGTTAGAAGTGCTGATGATGCAGCGGAAGATTGTTAGAAGTGCTTTTGTGATCAGAACAGCATCTTTGAAGTTGAAGAGTTTTTTTTGTCTAACAAAAAAACGGCGTTTTTTTCCCAAATGATACCGTAAAAACCCATCGAAAAAAACAATCGTATTTTTCGACAATCGTTTTTTTCTACCTTGCTCGCCACACATGTGCATGCATGTGCGGATTGTGATGCAACGGCAGGTGGAAGTGACCAAGGCGTTGATGCGGCAGTGCGAGGAGTGCCGCAAGGAGAAGGACAGCGCGTTGCAGGCGCTGGCTGGCGTGCGGAAAGAGAATGAGGCTCTCGAGGTCAACCTGCAGCGCCAAGGAAAGGTGAGAATGGTTGTTATTGTGATGGTTATGATGGATGTGTGGCATGCACTGGCCGGTGTGCAGGGAGAGAATGAGGCTCTTGAGGTCAACTTGCAGCGCCAGCCTCCAGGGGAAGGTGAGAATGGTTGTGATCGTGGTGGTTATGATGTCGTTATGTTGAGAATGGCCTGCAGGGCGTGCTGGTACATCTGGACTTCATACATGCCCCACGACTCATAAACCACATCTCCCCTCTCCCACTCCTCCCTCCGCCTCTCCCCTGCAAGCAGATGATATCGTGGCTGATAGGCCTGAACTCGGAGCTGGTGGAGGGCGGTGAGGCGCTGCAACAGACAATTGCTGAAGCACCAAAATCATCAGCCACATTCGCTCCCCCACCCGCCCCCACCTGCTTCCACTTGCACCAGGTGATTGAGCGGGAACTCAGCGCTGGCAGAAGGCAACGAGGCGCTGCAGCAGACAATCACTGAGGCGCCGTAAGAATCCTCCCCCATCCGCTCCCCCCTCATCCCCCTTCGCCCCACACGCCCCTCTCCCCCTAGAAGCAGGTGATAGAGCGGGTGATAGATTTGAAAGTCGGAGTTGGTGGAGGGCAACGAGGAGCTGTAGCTGCGGCAGAGGGAGATGGAGAGGCATGCGGGGGAGACGCCTCATACCTCATCATATTACACGTTACCCACACCTTCCCTCCCCCTCCCCCGCCCCATTCCCTTGCAAGCAGGTGATAGAGCGGCTCATCGACCTGAACTCGGAGCTGGTGGAAGGCAACGAGACGTTGCAGCAGGTGATTTCTGTGGCGCCCTAAGAATCAACCACGCTTTCCTCCCCCATCCTCTCCCTGCTCCCCCCCTCCCCCGCCCCATTCCCGTGCAAGCAGGTGATAGAGCGGCTCATCGACCTGAACTCCGAGCTGGTGGAAGGCCACGAGGTGCTGCAGCAGCGGCAGAGGGAAATGGTTGGTGAGATACTCTCATTGCGGAGGCACGTGGGGGGCGTGGGAGGGGCTGATAGTGGGGGAGTGGGAGAGGGAGGGGGAGAGAGTGAGGGAGAGATACAGGGAGAAGGAAACGGAGAGAATGAAACATTGAGACAGAAGGAAGGACGCGAGCAGCAAGAGAAGGGGCGGACAGAGGTGTTGGAAGCAGCGCAGGGAAGGGGAGGAGAGGAGCATGGGGCAAGAGATGGCCATGCTAGCAGCAGGATGCCAGGTGGGAGAGGGATGGATGAGAGGGCAGGTGGGGGGGATGGTGGGAAGCGTAGGAGCGGTGGAGGCGAAGCAGGGGAGGAGGATGGGGACGATGGGCCTGTTCCGGTGTCGTCCTTCCCCACAGAACAGCCCCCTTCGTTACAGTCACATGCAGCCGGGTTACTGGATGACAGGCAGCAAGCAACGCCCTCGTTCTTTGCCTTCTTCTCGAGTAAGCCCGCTGCTGCACCCCGTGGTGTTGCTGCTGCTGTTGCTGCTGGTGCTCCTGCTTCTTCTGCCCCTGCTGCCACTGCTGTTGCGGCATCTACCACTGCTGCGGCACCCCCCACTGCAGCAGCAGCAGGGCCGTCCAGAACTGATTCTAGTGCTGGCAGTGCCCCTTCCGGCCCTACTGATCCCACAGCTGCCGCTGTCCGTGTTCATGATACCAGCAGCAACGCTGAAACGTCTAGGGACCATCGCCCAAGAGGGGATTTAGGAGCAGATTCAGTGCGGCATCAGGAAGGTGATGGTGGTGCGTGGGCAGAGGGAGGGATGGCAGCGGGGGAGTGTGATAGGGAGAACACAGGTGGACGGCAGGGTAGAGATGGGTTGGGCTTGAGAGGTGGTGGGCGAGAAGGAGGGGCAGGGGAAGAGTCAGCAGCGAGGAGCAGCAGTGGTGGGAGCGGCAGTATTGGTGGTGCACACGCAATGTATCACCAGCAAGACAAAGAGAGGGGAGGGCAGCAGCAGGGATCTGTGCGATTGATTCCAGACCAGCAAGGAAGGGCGACGAGCGCTGCATCTGTCAGTTCTGCTTCTGGAGGGGATACAAGTGATGATGACACAACTGTGGCTTCTCAAGCTCTCTCTGCTTCTGCACCTGCTGCTACTCCTGCTTCGGGTCCTGGAGATGATAGCGATGAATTGCTATCAGGAGGGCCTTCTATAGGTGAAGATGGAAAAGCAAGGGGTGATTTACATTCGGATCAAGCCACAGGTGTGCAACACACAGGAGACACTGACGTCATGGTGGAGAACAATCAGCCGGATGTCACATGGCAAAGGAATAACCAGAAACGGCTGGGAGCTGCGTGGAGTGCTGTGAGGGGAAACGCCAAAGGATTATTCTCGTACATTGTTGGGGCAGATAAGGTGACTGTAGGCTCATGAATGGAGACAACTCAGCTTTCTTTATGGAATATGTCATATTGACCTGTACAGATTACTCTGCAGTGTATAACCGTACACTGAATCGAGTATGAGTCAACACTCGGCGACTCAATCCAGCTTGCAGGAGGGGGGCAGAAATGAGGGCGAACCCTTCTTGTTGGCTGGCAGTCCTCGTCAGCAACGGCCAGGGAGAGATGAACCATGTTCCGAGAAATAGTGCGTTCGTACGTGTAGTTGCTGTTTGTCTACGCGCGCAACTGAAATACTGTTGGGCAGGCGCATTATTGATTGGTTGGGATGCTTCGTTCGGGTAACTGGTGGAGGGTGTTTGCTCCGCTGGCTCATCCGCCAATCTCTCGCAAACTTTTTCGCGAAGAATCGCCGCCCCAATGGAACTGTGCCTCCTCACGATAGAAGCACGTGCTCCAAAGGTGAGCGAATGGGAAGCGACGGTACAGCTGTATCAAAAGAAACTCTACAGTTGTGTACACGAACAACAGTTTTGAGTGCATGGCCCGAGGTGGGATGGATTGGTCAGTACACCCACTTCACCTAGAAAATGCCGAGAGAACCTGCCCGACCTTCTCCAAGCCCCTCTTCACCTTCCCTCGAAATTGTCCCCCTCATGCCCTCCTCCCTCTCGGTGGCAAGCACCTTGGGATTGTTTCTCTCCAACGACCGCCGCCATTTACAGAAAACGGATAGATCCAGTCCAAGTTCAGTTTTGACCGACCTACCAACCTCATTTGCAATAGGTTTCTTCCCGTGTTTGCGCTCGTTATTTATGACGCGCCTCTCGTATCTCTCAATTGTGTGAGTTCTCAACTTTGATGCGGTTGTTAGGATACTTGAACAAAACTAGAGCTAGGCACTGTCAACCCGAGGAGAAAATTGGACATCTTCATGTTGGCTAGCCCCTCTCGTGCCAACAGTAGCTAAAGCCTACCGTACGGGAGTTTGCGAGATAGTTTCGTTCAGTCACTCTTTAACAGCATATATATAAATATTCACTCAAATGCCACCCATGGACGATAATTTAGGATTTGATTTTCCAATACCACTGAAACCAGAAGACGACAACCCCGAAACTGGACCCAATTCTGGAAGCTACCCAGTCGCCGATGGGGAAGCGGGGAGCGACCGCGGAGGAGGGGGCGGAGGCGGAGGCGGAGGCGGAGGCGGAGGCGGAGGGGGTGGATGGCAAGGGGAAGACGTCGAATGGCAAGGCGGTCCGATGTCTGACTTCCAGGGCCTTCCGGCTCGGGTAGAGCCCGAGCCTACTGACGTGGAAGGCATGAATGTGCCAATGCCGGATGTGACTCTACGAGACGAGCTCTACGAGTCGCTGATGCCGCTCAAATGGGTGTTGTTTCCGGAAGCCGACCCGGTACAGCAGTTTCGCGATAAGACGTGGAAGGAGAAGATTTGGATATTCCTAGTGGGAGTGTTTCCGATTCTGTCATGGCTGCCGAAATACGATCTACGGTTCTATCTGCTCGGCGACATCATCGGAGGGCTCTCCGTCGCCATTATGTCCGTGCCGCAGGTGAGACGCCGCCGCCGTGCCCATGCCGCAGGCGAGGCTTCGACGCCGTGCCCGTACCGCAGGCGAGGCGCCGACGTCATGCTAGCTCAGGACGGGTCAATGCCAATCTTTTCTTTCAAGCTTCTTAACGCATAAGCACGTACAGGACTTACAAGCAGCCATAAAGTATCCCACGCAGGTTAAACTACCCAGTTACTCACACCTACCGCTTTCATGATCTTTTGCTCCCGCTCCGCATCATCCCCGCCCTTTCCCTTTCCCCCTGTCTCATACGCGTCCCCCCTTGCTCTTCCGCAACGCTATCCGTCAGGACGTGTCGTACGCCAAGTACGCCAACGCGCCCAAGGAGTTCGCTCTCTGTAAGCCGCGCTCGCCCGTTCCCCCTCCCTCCCTTTCAACACATCCGCGCCATGCTGCTACAAGCCTCTTCCTCCTTCCCCCACCCCACCTTTCTATTCTACCCCCCCTCTCCCCTGCTTGTTTTTTTACGGGCACGTCAATAATTGTCTTTGTCCCTTCCCCGCCTTTCCTCACCTCACCGTTCTAACCCCTCTGCTTCCAATATCGTAGCATTCTCAAGCAGTTCTTGCCTGGCTTCTCGCGCCGCGCCGTCAACTCCTTTCCCGAACCCCCGTCCACCGTCCTCAACAGCTTTCACCTTTCCCGTTCCCCAACCGCCCGCTCACTGTGTTCAACCGCTCTCTCCTCCCTCGTTCCCTGACCCCCATCCACCGCTCTCAACCGCTCTCCCCCGTCCAGACACGAGTTTCCTGCCGCCGCTGATGTATGCGATCCTGGGGTTGTTGAAGCACACGGTGTTAGGGCCGGTGTCAATGTTTTCTTCTCATTCAGCGCCTCAATAACCCGTTTCCACCGCTCTCAACCGCCCTCCCCGTCCAGACACGAGTTTCCTGCCGCCGCTGATGTACGCGTTCCTAGGGTCGTCGAAGCACATGGTGATAGGGCCGGTGTCGGTGGTATTTTTTCAGCGCCTCAATAAGCCCCCTTCCACCGCTCTCAACCGCTCTGGGTCCCCTCATCCCTCCTCCAGACACGAGTTTCCTGCCGCCGCTGATGTACGCGATACTGGGTTCATCGAAGCACATGGTGATAGGGCCGGTGTCGGTGGTGTCGCAGCTGCTGGGCGAGCAGCTGAGCGCGCAGGTGGACCCCGCCAAGGAGCCCAACCTGTACAACTCGCTGCTCACCACCACCACCTTCCTCTGCGGCCTCTTCCAACTCGCCATGGGGCTGCTCAGGTGGGCCACACGGGGTGAGATGGGGGAGGGTGGATAGATGGGAGATGGGTCTTCTCAGGAGGGAAGAAGGGGTGCGCAGGTGGGACAATGGGGTGAGCTGCACGCTCACCATCGCATTGCAGCAACTGAAGGTCCTGCTCGCCTTCCCTTGCTCTCTCTACCTGCCCTGCTTTCTCCTTTCCACAGAATGGGTTTCCCGGTCGACCTACTGGGCCAGCCCACCATTGGGGGGTTCTTGGCGGGTGCTCCCTCACCATAGCTCTGCAGCAGCTCATGACCCCCTTCGTCCTCCCTTGCTCTCCACCCGCCGCCCTCCGTACTCCGCCCCACAGAATGGGCTTTCTGGTCGATCTACTGAGCCAGCCCACCATCACGGGGTTCCTGGCGGGGTGCTCGCTGACCATAGCGCTGCAGCAGCTGAAGCCCATTCTGGGGTACAGTGACTTCACGCTCAGCACCAGCGTTGTCAACATCTTCAAGGCCGTCGCCCAGTACTCCGACCAGGTGGGTGCTGTGCGGTGCTGCTAGGTGGTGCTGCTGCCGTGTGTTCGGTGCTGCTCGGTGCTGTGCGGTGCTCCCTAAGCATCCCGTTTCTTATTGGTCCCCACGTGCCATGTGCGTGCTTCGCATGCCCCAACCCTCCTCTGCCCCCCCACGTGCTTCCCATGCACCAGGCTTCCTCTATCTGGTCCCCATGTGCTCATCCGTCCCCCTATGGTCTCATCCCCTCCATTCCCTGCATGTGCATGGTGCAGTTCCAATGGCGTGCCTTCGTCCTCGGCTCTTCCTTCTTTGTTGCCCTCACCATCCTCCGTATCCTCGTGAGTCACATGCCCACACTCACCATCCTCCGTATCCTCGTGAGTCACATGCCCACACTCACCATCCTCCGTATCCTCGTGAGTCACATGCCCACACTCACCATCCTCCGCATTCTTGTGAGTCACATGCCCACACTCACCATCCTCCGCATTCTCGTGAGTCACATGCCCACACTCACCATCCTCCGCATCCTCGTGAGTCACATGCCCACACTCACCATCCTCCGCATTCTCGTGAGTCACATGCCCACACTCACCATCCTCCGTATCCTCGTGAGTCACATGCCCACACTCACCATCCTCCGCATCCTCGTGAGTCACATGCCCACACTCACCATCCTCCGCATTCTCGTGAGTCACATGCCCACACTCACCATCCTCCGCATTCTTGCGAGTCACATGCCCACACTCACCATCCTCCGCATTCTTGTGAGTCACATGCCCACACTCACCATCCTCCGCATTCTTGTGAGTCACATGCCCACACTCACCATCCTCCGCATTCTTGTGAGTCACATGCCCACACTCACCATCCTCCGCATTCTTGTGAGTCACATGCCCACACTCACCATCCTCCGCATTCTTGTGAGTCACATGCCCACACTTACCATCCTCCGCATTCTTGTGAGTCACATGCCCACACTCACCATCCTCCGCATTCTTGTGAGTCACATGCCCACACTCACCATCCTCCGCATTCTTGTGAGTCACATGCCCACACTCACCATCCTCCGCATTCTTGTGAGTCACATGCCCACACTCACCATCCTCCGCATTCTTGTGAGTCACATGCCCACACTCACCATCCTCCGCATTCTTGTGAGTCACATGCCCACACTCACCATCCTCCGCATTCTTGTGAGTCACATGCCCACACTTACCATCCTCCGCATTCTTGTGAGTCACATGCCCACACTCACCATCCTCCGCATTCTTGTGAGTCACATGCCCACACTCACCATCCTCCGCATTCTTGTGAGTCACATGCCCACACTCACCATCCTCCGCATTCTTGTGAGTCACATGCCCACACTCACCATCCTCCGCATTCTTGTGAGTAACATGCCCACACTCACCATCCTCCACATTCTTGTGAGTCACATGCCCACGCTCACCATCCTCCGCATTCTTGTGAGTCACATGCCCACACTCACCATCCTCCGCATTCTTGTGAGTCACATGCCCACACTCACCATCCTCCGCATTCTTGTGAGTCACATGCCCACACTCACCATCCTCCGCATTCTTGTGAGTCACATGCCCACACTCACCATCCTCCGCATTCTTGTGAGTCACATGCCCACACTCACCATCCTCCGCATTCTTGTGAGTCACATGCCCACACTCACCATCCTCCGCATTCTCGTGAGTCACATGCCCACACTCACCATCCTCCGCATCCTCGTGAGTCACATGCCCACACTCACCATCCTCCGCATTCTCGTGAGTCACATGCCCACACTCACCATCCTCCGCATTCTCTTGAGTCACATGCCCACACTCACCATCCTCCGCATTCTTGTGAGTCACATGCCCACACTCACCATCCTCCGCATTCTTGTGAGTCACATGCCCACACTCACCATCCTCCGCATTCTTGTGAGTCACATGCCCACACTCACCATCCTCCGCATTCTTGTGAGTCACATGCCCACACTCACCATCCTCCACATTCTCTTGAGTCACATGCCCACACTCACCATCCTCCGCATTCTAGTGAGTCACATGCCCACACTCACCATCCTCCGCATTCTTGTGAGTCACATGCCCACACTCACCATCCTCCGCATTCTTGTGAGTCACATGCCCACACTCACCATCCTCCGCATTCTCGTGAGTCACATGCCCACACTCACCATCCTCCGTATCCTCGTGAGTCACATGCCCACACTCACCATCCTCCGCATTCTCGTGAGTCACATGCCCACACTCACCATCCTCCGCATTCTCGTGAGTCACATGCCCACACTCACCATCCTCCGCATTCTTGTGAGTCACAAGCCCACACTCACCATCCTCCGCATTCTTGTGAGTCACATGCCCACACTCACCATCCTCCGCATTCTTGTGAGTCACATGCCCACACTCACCATCCTCCGCATTCTTGTGAGTCACATGCCCACACTCACCATCCTCCGCATTCTTGTGAGTCACATGCCCACACTCACCATCCTCCACATTCTCTTGAGTCACATGCCCACACTCACCATCCTCCGCATTCTTGTGAGTCACATGCCCACACTCACCATCCTCCGCATTCTTGTGAGTCACATGCCCACACTCACCATCCTCCACATTCTTGTGAGTCACATGCCCACGCTCACCATCCTCCGCATTCTTGTGAGTCACATGCCCACACTCACCATCCTCCGCATTCTTGTGAGTCACATGCCCACACTCACCATCCTCCGCATTCTTGTGAGTCACATGCCCACACTCACCATCCTCCGCATTCTTGTGAGTCACATGCCCACACTCACCATCCTCCGCATTCTTGTGAGTCACATGCCCACACTCACCATCCTCCGCATTCTTGTGAGTCACATGCCCACACTCACCATCCTCCGCATTCTCGTGAGTCACATGCCCACACTCACCATCCTCCGCATCCTCGTGAGTCACATGCCCACACTCACCATCCTCCGCATTCTCGTGAGTCACATGCCCACACTCACCATCCTCCGCATTCTCTTGAGTCACATGCCCACACTCACCATCCTCCGCATTCTTGTGAGTCACATGCCCACACTCACCATCCTCCGCATTCTTGTGAGTCACATGCCCACACTCACCATCCTCCGCATTCTTGTGAGTCACATGCCCACACTCACCATCCTCCGCATTCTTGTGAGTCACATGCCCACACTCACCATCCTCCACATTCTCTTGAGTCACATGCCCACACTCACCATCCTCCGCATTCTTGTGAGTCACATGCCCACACTCACCATCCTCCGCATTCTTGTGAGTCACATGCCCACACTCACCATCCTCCGCATTCTTGTGAGTCACATGCCCACACTCACCATCCTCCGCATTCTCGTGAGTCACATGCCCACACTCACCATCCTCCGTATCCTCGTGAGTCACATGCCCACACTCACCATCCTCCGCATTCTCGTGAGTCACATGCCCACACTCACCATCCTCCGCATTCTCGTGAGTCACATGCCCACACTCACCATCCTCCGCATTCTTGTGAGTCACAAGCCCACACTCACCATCCTCCGCATTCTTGTGAGTCACATGCCCACACTCACCATCCTCCACATTCTTGTGAGTCACATGCCCACACTCACCATCCTCCGCATTCTCGTGAGTCGCATGGAGATGCGTGATATCCCATCCTATCCCACCCCACTCCACCCTACCCCACCCCACCCATCCCACCCACAAGTCGCTCAATATCCCCAGTCCATCACACTTTAAGCCTGGCCTGCATGGCCTGTGACATGACGTGGCATGACGTGGCATGCGTTACACCTGTGGCTGGAAGAGCACAGCATGCTTAGGAAGGCTGTGGTGTGAACACATCAGCACCGCACAATAAAATGAAAACCATGAAGTTTTTAATTTTTATGCCATGACGTCCAGTTTTTATGTCATGGACATCAGACCTTGACATCCATTATTGATGCCAGTTTCCATGCCACCAGGCCAATGTGTAGCCAGAAAGCAACAACCATTCTTTTTATTTCTATGCCTCCCATGCCAACCACGCCATGCCATGCCACACCATGCCATCCCACGCCATGCCATGTCATCCCATCCCACGCCATGCCATGCCATGCCATGCCATCCCATCCCACGCCATGCGATCCCATCCCACGCCATCCCATGCCATGCCACACCATCCCACACCATCCCATTCCATGCCATGCCATGCCATGCCATGTCACACCATCCCACACCATCCCATTCCATGTCATGCCATGCTATGCCATGCCATGCCATGTCATGCCATCCCACAACATGCCATGCCATGCCATTCCATCCCACGACATGCCATGCCATGCCACACCATCCCACACCATCCCATTCCATGTCATGCCATGCCATGCCATGCCATGCCATGCCATTCCATGCCATGCCATGCCATGCTATGCCATCCCACGCCATGCCATGCCATGCCACACCATGCCCACCAGACGAAGATCTACCCCAAGAGCAAGACACTCTTCTATGCCAACGCACTGGGCCCCATCTCCTCTATAGTCCTCTCCACTATCATCGTGGGCGCCTCCGGCATGTACAACAAGGGCGTAGCCACGGTGAGTGTAGGAGTTCAGTCTGTTCAGTTGAGATGTCTCATCAGCTGGGCTGGGCCTCATCTCCTCTATAGTCCTCTCCACTATCATCGTGGGCACGTCTGGCATGTACAACAAGGGTGTGGGCTTAAAGCTGCGGTCTACATTCTAAATGGTATTTTCTGGGGGTATTTCGGGTGCACACCCTAGGACACAGTCTGATTTGCTCACGAAATGATCCTTTTCCAAAAATCAGGGCGCGAATGTTTCAAACACAACTGGCGAATCCCGCCAGTTTCGTGCAAGGCTCAGTTGGGGAATACTAATTTAGTGAGGTTGGGGTTCCTTTCGCGATTTCGCCACAACCTGCAACCAATCGAGGTTGGGGAGGAGATTGGCGCGAAAATTGTAAGCCAATCCTGAGCAGGCCAATTTTTGGAGGGGGGGTTGGGTTGTCACAAAGCAGTAACTGCACCTCGCCACTCGAGGTTGGAGCGAAGCCCTGTGCTACCAGGTTTTCAAGTGATAAACCGAGTCCTCCCGCAGGAAGTATGTAGGCGACAGCTTTAAGGCTTTGCTGCTGTTGAGACTTCTTGCAAAATTGTGAGAGGGGTTGTTTGGTGGTGATTGTGGGAGGGCTATTGCCGTGCTCTATCTGGTGGGCTTCTGTACGGGGGTGTGTGCCGAGTGCACGCACACATGCGCCCTGTTCAATCCTGTCTGTTCACCCCATCTTGTTTTCCATATCACCCTGAAGGCATGCTGACTGACATTCAGGGGATCTCTCTTCATCCCTCTTCACCCCTCCTGATCGCTCCCCCCCTGCCGCTCCTGTTCACGGATGGGCAGCTTTACAACGGGGCTGGGCTGGGAGGCATGTTTTCAATGTGGGCTATTCACTCATCTGACTCTCCTGCCCTGTGATCCTCCCTCTGCCTCTTCCTCTCCCTCCCCCTGCCTTTCATGGACACACACAGGTGGGCAGCATAAAGACGGGCATGGGCGGCATGTCATCGGTGTGGGACATTGATCTGCACAACGAGTATACTGACGAGGTCGCACTGATTGCTCTCTACGCTGCCCTCGTCTCCCTTGCTGTGAGTAACTAGCCGCCCTTCCCTGCAACCCTAATCTTCCCTGTTCCTCCGCCCCCTCCTCTTCTCCCTTTTCCTCTCCCCCTCCAACCCCCCCCCCCCTCCCCTCCCCAAGTTCTCCCGCCACCCCTTCTCCCTCTCCGCCCTGCCTTGCTCTTGTGTGTCGCGATTTCGCAAACGCATCGCTTTGGTCTAATTAGGGGCACTTAGCCTTCGTACTATATCTTTCTGTCTGTCTGCCTGTCCCCTGTCTTCCTCTACTCCTTGCTGCTTTTGTACTTTGAGTTGCTGGTTTATTGTGGCAATTCTCATAATGCGCATCTCTTTGCCCCCTGTTTTCACTCTTTGTCACAACTTCCTTACTCCAGTTCTCCCTTTTTTTTCGTGTGTGTGTGTGTGTGCGTGTGCGTTTTTCTTTCTTTCTGTCTTTCTTTCTTTTTGTATAGGAATCGATTGGCATAGGACGCACATTTGCGGGCATGTATGGTTACCACATCGATGGTAACAAAGAGGTGAGCTGGATACCACACTCACCCTCCAACCACTCGCCCTCCCAGCGGCACTCATCTTATTAATCAGGCCCCCTTCTCTTTCAGGTCCTTTGTTCCATCCACGCATCCGTTCCTTCCTTCACATCTTGTCCTCTCCGCTCCTCACCTCCTCCCCCCTGCTCACGCCCTCCCCCCACTCAACCCCCACCCCTCCCCCACTCACCCCCCACCCCTCCCCCCCTCACCACCTCGCCTGCAGCTCATAGCCTACGGAGCCATGAACCTCTCAGGCTCCTTCACGTCCTGCTACGTTGCCACAGGTATGCTGCGGTCGAATGCGGTGACACGTGGTGGGCACTGTGCCCTGTAGGACCCACACACGTCAGGGCATTGCACTGCACCCTGCAGATGAACTGCACCACCCCACACTGAGCTCTGCACCACCCCACAGTGAGCTCTGCACCTTTTGAGTCGACTCAAAAGTCACCTGCACCACCCCACAGTGAGCTCTGCACCTTTTGAGTCGACTCAAAAGTCACCTGCACCACACGCCCACAGTGAGCTCTGCACCACCCCACAGTGAGCTCTGCACCTTTTGAGTCGACTCAAAAGTCACCTGCACCACCCCACAGTGAGCTCTGCACCTTTTGAGTCGACTCAAAAGTCACCTGCACCACCCCACAGTGAGCCCTGCACCACCCCACACTGAGCTCTGCACTACCCCACACTGAGCTCTGCACCACCCTGTACTTGCTCAACCACTCCCAAGCAGCGGCAGCCCCTCTTTCAGTCATCGCATCCTGAACTAGTCCCCTTGCTGTCCCCTTGGTGTTGCCCCATCTCTCCTGCTCCATCCCCCTTGCCCCATCCTCCATGTCCCATGACCCCTGGCCCATTCCCCCTGCTGCCCCCCTGCCCAATCCCCCCTGCCCCTTTCCCCCTGCCCCATTCCCCCTGCCCCATCCCCCCTACCCCATTCCCGCTGGGCCCTGCCCTTCCCATCTTCCCCATCCTCTACTCCTCGCCTCGCTCTCTCCCCGTGCCCTAATCCAGTTTGCTTTGCTTTTTAGAGACTTTCAGGAATCAACTCACCTCCTGCAACCCTGTCTTCTCATCAACCCTGTCTTCTCATCAACCCTGCCGCCCTGCATCCTTCCAACCAACCAACCTGCCCCACTCCCTTCCTTGAACCCCTCCCCCCTTTTCCCTGCCAGGCTCCTTCTCTCGCACGGCAGTGAACATCTTGGCAGGGGCGCACACAGCGGTCCGCAGCTCGTCTTCATCCCCCCCCCCCAACCCCCCTTCCTTCTTCATCCCCCCCCCCAACCCCCCTTCCTTCTTCATCCCCCCCCCCCAACCCCCCTTCCTTCTTCATCCCCCCCCCCCAACCCCCCTTCCTTCTTCATCCCCCCCCCCAACCCCCCTTCCTTCTTCATCCCCCCCCCCAACCCCCCTTCCTTCTTCATCCCCCCCCCCAACCCCCCTTCCTTCTTCATCCCCCCCCCCAACCCCCCTTCCTTCTTCATCCCCCCCCCCAACCCCCCTTCCTTCTTCTCCCTCCCACCAGGCTCCTTCTCTCGCACAGCAGTGAACATCCTAGCAGGGGCACACACAGCACTAACACAAATCATCCTCGCCCTGACCATGCTCGTTGTGCTCCTTGCTGCTGCCCCCGCCTTCAAATACGTGCCTGCTGTAAGCCCTCTTGAGTCGATTCAAATACGTGCCTGCTGTAAGCCCTCTCACTCACCCCCTCCCCAAATGTGCCCGCTGTATGCCCACTGCCCTCTCAACCCCTCCCAATACTTGCTCATGGCCCTCTCACCAAGGTTCAAAAATACGGTAAACGTAAATTACGGCTCGTAAATTACGGTCGTAATTTACGGTGGTTTTGGCAAAAATACGGTCGTTTTTTAAATGGACATTTTTTGCGGATTTTTTTTTTTCCAGAAATTCCTAGAACGCTTACAACGATGACAAGGAAGGCGACAACATACTACACTACAGAATGGTGGTTTTTGCCCTGGTTTAACTTGGTGGTGTTGCGTTGGCGAATGGAATATGCAAAAGGGATGAGATGGAAGGGATGAAGACGAACGCTATTGGTTGGAATGGTTTTGCAGTGTCGAAATTGAGTTGAGTAGCGCATGCGAGCGAAAAAAACGAACGGGCCGCGAAACGACCCACCGACTTGGCGAAACGGGTAGACTTGTGTTATCCGTTCGCCAAATGTACAATTTGCCGCGTCGCACAAATTTGTACATTTGCGATTCGGCGAAATACACAAACGAGTGTGCGAATGGGCAACAAACCTGTTAAACTGTCACCAAAATGCACAATGTCGCGCCTCGAGATTTTGCTGACACTCGCGACTCGGGAAAAAAACACTCTCGAGTGGGTTTGGGGCCACAAAAATTCTCACGAACAGGTTGACGGTTGGGAAATGTTGAAATTCGCTATACACAAACTCGGTTTCAAACTTTCGGTCGTAATTTACGACCGTATTTTTGAACCAACCTAATTTTGCAACGTCAAACCGTTTTTTACCGTAATTTACGACCGTAAATTACGATACCGTAATTTACGGTAAAATTTCAAAAATACGGTCGTATTTTTGAACCTTGCCTCTCACCCCCTCTCAATACATGCTTGCTGTGTGCTCTTTCACCCCCTCCCCAGACCTCCCCGCCCCGCTGTATGCCACTGCCCTCTCAACCCCTCCCAATACTTGCTCGTTGTATGTCCTCGCTTCCCCCCGCTCCTTCTCCCTTCCAATTCCCGTATCCCATGTGCGCTGTCTCACTCACCCTTCTCCCCATCCCCCTCTCTCTCCGCCACCGCCTCTCTCTCCATCACCCTCTCTCCCCATCCCCCTCTCTCCCCGTCCCCTTTCCCTCCCCCATTTTCCCCTTCCTCCCCTCCTCTCCCTCTCCCAACTTGTGCTCTCGTGCTCTCCCCCGCTGCAGTGTGTGGTGGGAGCAATTATCGCCAACTCGGTGCTCAACCTGGTACCCCCTCCTCCCTATCGCCTTCCCCCCTGTTTCACTCCTCCCTATCGCCTTCCTCCCTGTTTCACTCCTCCCTATCGCCTTCCTCCCTGTTTCACTCCTCCCTATCGCCCTCCTCCCTATTTCACTCCTCCCTATCGCCCTCCTCCCTATTTCACTCCTCCCTATCGCCCTCCACCGTATTTCACTCCTCTCAACTCTCTCCTTGCTCCTCACCATCGCCCCTCCTTCCAAATTCTCCATCTCCCTACTCCATCTACTTGTCCCTCTCACCTCTTTCCCTTGATTTGCTGCTCCTCCCCTGTGTCTTCTTTGAGAATTTTAAAAAAGACCCATATACATCAACTTGTCCCTCTATTACCTGCTTCCACTTGTTCACATCACACCATCATCCGCCCCCCCCATCACCTTGCTCCCTCGCTGTCCTCCCCAGCATTTCCCCTCTGCCCAATCCGTAATCATGCTTCATTCTCACTTGCTTCCCTTCATCCCTTGTCCCATCCCATCCCCTCCCACTCATCACCCCTCCCTCCCTCATCTCAGATCTGGAGGGTGGACAAGCTGGACTGCATGGTCATGATCGGATGCTCCCCCACAGCTCTTCCCCTTATTCCCGTGTCCCTTTATTTCCTTATTCACTTGTTCTCTCCCTCTTCGCAGTTTGACTTCAAGGCGGCATTACAGATCTGGAGGGTGGACAAGCTGGACTTCATACTCATGCTCGGCTGCTTCCATGACTCGTCCCCTTGTTACCCATTCTCTCCCTTCCTCCGTTATTCCCTTAATCCCCCCACATCAGCTCGACTTCAAAGCCGCGTTTCAGATCTGGAGGGTAGGCAAGCTGGACTTCATAGGCATGCTCGGCTGCTTCCGTCCTCTCCCTCCTCTTAGCCCCTCCTTCCCTCCTTCCCTTCCTCCCGTTTCCCCTCCCAACTGTCCCCTTCCTCCCTCCCCCTCGCAGCTCGACTTCAAAGCGGCGTTTCAGATCTGGCGGGTCGACAAACTAGACTTCATAGTCATGCTGGGCTGCTTCCTCGGGATCATCTTTGGCTCGCCCGAGATCGGTCTGCTCGTCGCCTCTGTGCTCTCCGTCCTCAAGCTCCTCCTCCGCATCGTCCGCCCGCACATCCGCCTGCTGGGCCTGCTCCCGGGCGGCGCCGCTACAGCCGTGAGCGTGCTACAGTTCCCCAACAGCACGCTGTGCGAGGGGATCGTGATGCTGAGGATTGAGAGCCCGCTGTACTTCCCGGCTGCGAATTTCTGCCGGCAGCGCATCAAGAAGCTGTGTGATGCATATGCGAGGGGGTACCAGCAACCCGTGCGGGTGAGTCTGGTGATTTTGCTGCTGTAGAGGGCTTGGTGAGGGGTTAGTGAGGATGGGGGGTTGGGGAGGATAGAGAGCAGCTGTATTTCCCTGCCACTATTTTGTGCAGGCAGCGCATCAAGAAGCTGTGTGATGCGTATGCGAGAGGGTACCAGCAACCTGCACGGGTGAGTGAGTCCAATTGATTCTGTTGTGAGCGAGGGGCTTGGGAATGGTTCCTGAGGTTGGGGGGTTGGGGGGATTGATAGTCTGCCTGTACTTTCCTGGGCCTGATTTCAGCTCACACTCTCTTCCTCGTTGCGACCCTACGGCATTGCATTCTAGACTTGCCCGTCACGCATGACATTGACGTGTTGCCCAATGCACTGCCCCTCTCTTTCCCACCAATACTTCCACTCCCTCTCCTCCCTCTCATCCCCTCACTCCCTCCCCCAAGTTTCTCCTCCCACCTTCAACATTGCATTCCCAGGAGTGTCATGCACGATATTGACGTGTTGCTTGCCGCATATCCTATCCTTCCTTTCCTCCTCGCCTCCCAACAGCACTGCATTCTCGATCTGAGCGTCATGCACGACATCGACGTGTCGGGCATCGACGGGTTGAAGGAGCTCCACCGAGACCTGTCTGAGAAGAGCATTCAGGTACAGACGGGTGGAGTGTTAAGGCTAAGCGGTAAAAGATTTAGGGTCGTGCCTTGGTGAGTGATGTCGTGAGCAGCGAGGGTCGTATGCAACCCCTCTGCAGCTCTGCCTATCCAGTGCATCAAGGGACGTGCTGCGCAAGCTGCGGGACGCCAATTTCCTGGTCGAGATGGGAGAGCAGTGGCTCTTTGTCACCCCCCTAACCTCACCTCTCTCACTCCCACCCCATCTCACCCCCATTTACCCTCACTCCCTCCCAGCTCTGCCTATCCAGTGCATCAAGGGATGTGCTGCGCAAGCTGTGGGATGCCAACTTTCTGGCAGAGATGGGCGAGCAGTGGCTCTTCGTCACTCCCGCCGACGCCGTCAAGCTGTGTCGCTCCATGGCCGTGGCTGCACCGGCTGTGAAGGAGCAGGACGAGCTGTTGGCATCAGTTCAGGTGTATGACATCTAAAGGGGCTGCTACAACTGCTGCTGCTGTGCAACAGGTGTATGACACCTAGTGGGGTGTGTTTGATTGTAGGGAGGCAAGACATTGATGCCAAGCTCTGTCGCTCCATTGGCTGTGGCGTGGCAGCGCCGGCTGTGAAGGAGCAGGACGAGCTGCTGTGGTCCGTGCAGGTGTATGACATCTAGAGGGGCTGCTGGGGCTGCTGTTGCTGCGCAGCAGGTGTACCACATCTAATAGGGGGGGTGTGATTACAGGGCGCCAACACTTTCATGCCAAGCTCTGTCGCTCCGTGGCAATGGCAGCACCTGCTGTGAAAGACCAAGCCGGGCTGGTGACGTCCGTGCAGGTGTATTGACATGGAGGCTTGTTGCCTCTGCAGCAGGTGTACAAAATGAAGTGCGGCTGCTACTTCATTCCGTGTGCGTGTGCACGACATCAACCTGCTGCTCCTGTGACAGCGCATGAAACGGCAGTCAGTGTGCTGCAGCATTGCCTACAACACTTGTGTTGTGTAGGTTGCAGCAATGCTGTGGTCAGCTTTTGTGCAACAGGATGTGGTGCTGCCGTCTGTGCAAAACTTGGTTTGGGTGTTTGATAAATTGGAAGTGGCGGCAGTGCTTGGAATGTTGTGCAGCCCTGCCTTCCATTTTTTACTGATTATGACAGTGTACAAATTATTGTATACTGAGGTGTAGTTTATTATAAGAGATAACAGGACGTGTCTCAGCTGGTGAGATGTTAGTCTAGGTATCGTAAGACCGGAAGTTCGGGTTCCAGCGCCGTCCCAAAGTTTTGCGGCATCGCAAGGAAAAACCTCGCTACGGAGGATTCGGTATCAGTGTAATGTACAGTGTACCCTGATACCGCCGGGGTAACCAAAATCGCTATCAGCGTAAACCGAAACTTAGCCTGTTGCTCTAGGGTAAAAAGTTTGATACCCTGTTTTGAAAAGAGCAACTGGGAAAAAGCGGCCGCCCATCAGGGCAAACAGGATATTTTACCCTGATAATTTGGGCCCTGCTGATGAGTGCAAATTGGGGACAAAACCTTGGCAGCATTGCGATTCAGGGGTTTGGTGTTGCTGAACGGTGGCTGGTGTCTTTGTTCCATTATTTCTTTGATAAACGCAGGATTGTAGATATATGTACCTTAAATGCTATTCCACAAAGCAATCCTACACTACAATGTTATGTGAACTGTAAGGAGATTTCTAATCCCTTACGGAGTCACTCTGTACGTAACTTTCGGAAGATCAGGCTGGTCGTCGACTTGTACCCACAACCCAAGACCAGCACCCAACCTTATCTCTCCAAGGTTACCGCCTTGTGTGGCTGGCAGGCAATCTCACTTGTCCGGCATGATCAGGTCAGGTAAAGCAGAGGCATTGCCCCATTTGCTTTGGCCTCTTTGGCATGATCAGGTTAGGTGCGTCATTGGCCGAGTGGGATGTTGCCAATCTGGCGGGTTCCATCAATTGGCTGGATTAACGTGGGATGGTTCTACTGAACTGTATAGCGCGTATGCTACACATGATGCCCGTTTGAACCACTCCCTGTTGCCTTGTTAAGAAGGCTAATAAACTACACTTGCTCTTCGTCAGTGTTCGTAGGTTTCGTTACACTTGTAAAGTGCTTCTAAAAAATATTCGTAACCAGCTTATTTGTCTGTTCCGTAACAGCGTGGGTTGGCCACACTTGGCATTAGTGGGTGCTCTTTGTTACCAGGTGTTATCAATGACAAATGGTATGAGCGTCAGGCGAATGCACGCACGATGCTGACGACGTTTCGTCCACCCCTTTCGCAAGTCTGTACTCTAGCCTAGAAACAAGGCAAATCTGGGCCAACCTGGTTTGGTCTGTGATGCACGTTCAGTTTTGGTCGAAGCGCGTCCACTGTGCTATGCCATCCATGTGCCTGTACCGTGGGAGCAACATCCCGGGGGCAAAACCTCGGGTGCAGCGTTTCCATCCGGTACAAGGCAAATTCGAGTGCACGGGCTGGGCATCATGTGTAGATGTCCGTCGAACTCGAGAGCTTGACATGACATATGTTTGGAAGTCTAAGCCCAGGAAACGTTCGAAACAGTGAGGCCGAAAGTTTTGTGGAATGCCTGGCCGTACTTTTTGGAATGCCCTGGCCGTCTACTACCTAATCGCGAAACAGATACAGTCACTCATGGCGCGGTTCTTGCGGGGGGAAGCTGGGACGGGGGAACTTGGGGGAGTTGCGGGTAACTACCGTAGACTAGGGCGGGGCAGCGGCGGACAGCCGGCTCCTCCTATCCAGTCACCACCGCGCGCCTTTTCCCTTCAAGGATTCGTTGTCATTCGCGACAAGTTGTCAGCCAAGAATGTGCGTTCACGTGCCATTCTCGCCAGGCCACCCATTTTCTCTCTTTTGTGGCTGCAGAAGTCACTCGTTTGTGCGGCCAACTTCGATTAGACGATCGCCGCTCGTCTGTTTGAGAGTTTGGTTGTTGTGTGTGGCTGGTTGGCGATGTCACTGGGACCGATTTAGGTCAGGTGTAGCCGTCGTCCGTGCGGGATGTGGCCAATGTGGCAGGCTCCATCAATTGGCTGAGTTCGCTTCACGCGTAATGGTGGTACTGTACAGTGCGTATAGTATATACCACACTGAGACGGCTCCCGGAGCCGTTCAGGTGAACAGATACCCGTGACTCCTGAAGGCACTGTTTGGTACGGATTCACAACGTTTGAAGCTGGCGGTGGTAGTACGGCCACATACTAATGAGACGGCTGCTCGAGCCGCCGTTCACCCGTGATGGTGGTATCTGTCCCATATGAGTCACTTGAAGGCTCTGTTTGGGACCAGTTCACAACATTAAAGTTGACGATGGTATCTACCACATACTAATGAGACGGCTGCTCCCCGAGCCGCCTCGGGCTGGGTTCCTGTACAGCACGCTCGGCGGAAAATTTTCCCCCATCAGCGGAGTCCTCCCGCTGCGGACCCCTCCAAGGCTGGGTTAAGTTAGGTTTTGCTGGCGGCGGCCTGGGGCCTCCGGCGCGAGAGAGATGCGCATCATGTTTCCTCGTTTTGGTGTAACCTTTCCGCGGCCTCGCAAGTATTCAGCTTCCGCGGAAGTTCCGCGTCCTCATTCCTCGTACTAAAAGCCACGAAGCCCATAACTTTGCTCACACTTCCCGTCAGTAACCCATCATCGACCCATGCCTTGGCCTTCTATGCTCCACGATCGCCGCCGCGCTCTCTCTCGCTCGCCGCGCTCTCAAGAGCGATTTCTGAGGAACATGGTCATCATTATGCCAACTTCCGGCTGCGGCCGCCGCATTGGGCTTGTCTCGCTGCTGGCGACTCTGATGATCGTAGCAGGTGAGAACTTTGATTAAAGGAGTTAAAGCTCCTGTTATAGTAATCGTAATCAGCGTCGTTGCAGGTGGATTGCCGTTCCAAGTCATAGCAGCGCAGCCAATGATCGCTGCTGCTGCTGACTGTCGCCGACGATGGTCGGTGCTGATGATGATGCGGTCGTGGTGATAGTCGCCCACCCATGATCGTGATCGTCGCCCGGCGATGGTGATCATCGCCAGTGATGAGCCACGCACATGGTTCTCGTGATAGTTGCTGCCGTCAACTGAGAATAACCGTCGCCATCGTCGCTGGTGAGGGTCATCGCTGGTGAGGGTCGTCGCTGGTGACAATCGCCGCAATGCCTCTCCTCTTCTGCCACCTGTCTTTCCTTCCTCCGCCCCAACTGAGTTGCATTCACCAGACAGAGGCTGATCGTCTGATTGCCACTATGCCTTTCTTCTGGTTGTCAAGATCATTCCTTCCTTCACCAGGCAGAGGCTGATCTTCTGATCTCTATCTCCAACTCCCCTCTCCTCCCTCTACCCTCTCTCTCCTCTCCTCTCCTCCCCTCCCCTGTCCCTCCAGCCTCCATGCCTCACGCCAAGGCTCTTGTCCTGCCACCAGCCTGTCCTCAGGGGAAAGTGTGGAACGCCGACGTGGGAGTCTGTGTCTGTGAGTTGATGCACTCTGCTGCCGCCACTGCTGCTGCTGCCGCTGCTGCTGCCGCCATTGCCGCTGTTGCTGTCGGCACCATTGCTGCTGTTGCTGCTGCCGTCTCAATCTACCCTGCAAGATCTCTCTCCCTGCTGTAGATCCTTCAGAGAGCAACAACCCTAGCCAGGCCTGCTCTAGCACCACCTTGTTCTCTTGCCTCTCTCTCACCCGCCCAATCCTCTGCGCCCGTCTACCCCCTGCGCTGTGCTCCTCTGTGCCGTGCCTCCACCAGCCACGTGCCGCATTGCCAAGGGATGCCCGTCCAATTACTGCGACAACGGACTCTGCTTGTGCCGGCCTGGTCTAGTCATGCTCCCCGATGGAAGATGTGCCAGTGAGTGACTATGTTGATGGCTGGTGTGATGTGAGCGACTATGTTGAGGGTGCTTTCTCATGATACATGCCCCGTGCCCGTGTCCCGTGATACTATATTCCATGCCCTATGCCCCATGCTTCGTGCCTCATGGCCCTTGCCCCATGCCCCATGCACCATGCACCATGCCCCGTGCCCCATGCATGCACCATGCCCCGTGCCCCATGCAGCATTAACACGCTAGGTATCCCGCTTTACTAACAAGCTCCTGCCCCACTTGTTCAAACTGCCTCCATCTCTCTTCCCAGATTCCTGTGATGGTGTGGAGTGCGGTCCCGACTCTTCTTGCAACTCCGACGCTGAATGCATTTGCAACCCCGGCTATAACACGCTACCTGATGGCACTTGCACTGGTGCGTGTTCCCCCTCTCCCTCTCTCTCCCTCTCTCCTTCTACCCCCTTCCCCCTGGAGGGGGAGAATGCTCACGTTGGGACTTGACGTGTCACTCACTCACTCTCGCACTCTGTCTGTCCCACGCTCTGGCACTAGATTTCTGCTCAAATTCTCTCCTTTTCTCTTCCCCCGCTCTCCCCCTCCCCCGTCCCAACCCCCCTCTCTCTCACTCTCTTTCTCTCTCCTCCCCTC